AGCACAACATTTTATGTGCTAATTAAAGCACATTTTGATGGCTATTTCTGAAATAACGATAAAATTATTATCCTATTTTATAACAGCTGTTGGACATCAAACATGACAATAACGTACGCTGAGGTTAAATAAAGCGCCCGTTATCTAGCGGGGCAGCAGTAAAACTTACATTCGAGTAATATTATACTAGCTACTGTATTATGTTTGCTAATATAGTTAGCCACATTATGGGATTTTGGTGTAATGAACCAGCTATGTTATAGTGGATCTAAAAAAACATGTTGAAGTCAATGTTTTCAAATTTTCTACTAGTTATTACAATTACCACTGCACGCTGAGTTTAGTTAATTCCTCAGATCATAGAACGGATTAAGCTAATTCGTACCGCAAACCGCAAAATTAATTTAATACTTTTTAAACCCATGTTCAATTTTCCTTGCCCAACATTTTGCATCTCACTTATCGGACTATCTCGACTTCAAGCAGCATTAGGGGGAGTCCAATTAGATCGACATTTGTCGTGCGCTTCCAGAATACGTTCGTCTGCAATCTACGGATGGCGGCTTATTCGATTATGGAAAAGAGCTTTAAAACATTGTCTTATCCCGACGAGACGCCGAGTTATCGGGAGCTCACACCGGGAGAAAAGACGAGCTATAGACAGGATGGAATATACGTACCTACATTGATTTATAAAGTCCGCATTTTAAAAGAAGGTTGGGCACTACTCTTTTCTTTCTAGTTTTAGGCTGAGTTGCACCACCTAACTTTAACGATAACCGGTGCTTTTAGTATGGAGTTTGACAGATATTTGACGTTTGTTAAAGTTAAAGTAAGATGGTGCAACCCAGCCTAAAACTGGAAAAGAGTTAAGTGTCCAAACTCCTTTTAAAATACAGACTATAAAAAAAGTTTAACTGCTCTACTTCTAAAAATTACGATTGGAAGAACAAGAAACCCTTATTTGGATTTGTTATGTGTGTACAAACGACAGCATATCTCGGTAAAGGTGGTGGCATCTTAAAGAATAAGTAGTAACTATAGCACAGAATCTATGTACTAGTAGTAACTAATAGGTAATTCTGTTTTGCAATAAACTCGGTCTCCCAATGTGCTGTTTTTTTAAAGGAATCCAATAATGCTTTTAAAATTGAAATGGAGAAATAAAGTTTTTTGTTTGTTGGTTTATTTACGTTTTATATCTGGTTTTCAATACAAATACGGGTTTTGCCTGAACCTCAGCTCGTTGCTTTTTTTTGTCAAAGGATAAAATGCTGCTAAAAATTTACTGCATCATTTTCTCGGATATATCGGGGCATGAAAGGCAATATTGCATCGTCAATTTTCCTCGCGCGTTACACTCTCAATGTCTATTTTTATACTACCCAGAAATCGGGTTAATTGGGTGTTTGAAAGTTTTGAATCAGCAAAAGGAAAGAAAATAATTATTCTACTTGATAGAAAAGGATTCCTTTTGTTATACCTATAAAATCGTACATATTTCAGGAAACACTATTTTACCAGAAGCACGGGCTTCTGAGTGGAGCCTAAATGACGTCATGATGATGATGATAAGACTTAAAGGTCTATTCAAATTTATGAATAGATTTAAAATGTTTGGTTGACTTCAATCATCATCATCATTTCAGTCGCACATAAGTAGACCTCCCCAATGATTTCCATATCGCGCGGTTGGTGACTTCAATAACTGGAGTCAATTTTAAGAATACATCCTACTTCCTACTAATATTATAAATGCGAAAGTTTGGATGTCTGGATGTCTGTATGTATGGATGTTTGTTACTCTTTCACGCAAAAACTACTGAACGGATTTCCATGAAACTTTACAGTATTATTGTTTATAACCCAGAATAACATAATTACCTATAGGCTATAATTTATGACGATCTGGGACATATGAAATTTCACGCGGGTGAAGCCGCGGGAAAAAGCTAGTTCCTTCATAAAGTATTTTCTTTTTTTTGTGTTTTTGTTGTAAAATCGCTTCTTGCAAGTACATAAAGATGACACAGTGTACTTTAATGTACGTGTTAATCCCCAAGGTCCAGTTTCCCCGGCTAATACGTTCAGAGTCCAAGCATTACTTTGAAATTAGAAAGTGATTATCTGAACCAATGAACCGTGGAAGGAACTCCATTTAGGTGTACGAGGAAGACAGAATAGTATTGCATTGCATCAATGGACCTTCTTCCTATGCTGTTCTATTACTGTCACTCGAATTACTTCCCAGGGTAAGGGAGAGAGAGGGATGATTCGAAATTCTGTACTTATAGAAAATGTGTATTAAAAATTTGCATTACCATAAATTACACCCAGTAGCGAGATACTGTCACTAAAATGTATTTCGGTTCTCAGGATGAGAGAAAATGAAGAATGAACCTTTTACATTCTACAAAACGTGTAATTCTTTTGTCCTTACAAATAGATAAATATATTAAATAGACAACTGATTTTCAAGTTATCGTCTATCTGGTGCCTAAAAACAGTCTAATTGCTTGTGTGTACCAAATATCTCTATTTTAGGCATTGTGCGTAGGTTTTATGAGGAAATTTTGGCATAAAATGCTCAAAAGAACAAAGCTTCAAAGACAAGCGACGCATCTCATTACTTCACAAGACAGCAATTGGTTTTTATAGAGGGTGAATGAAAATAAATACTTAGCTAAGCCATTTTTAAAATGTCAATCAATGTCAGTTAAGGGCTTATTCTCTAAGGGCTAGTCTTAAAAATATCTCCTAACTGTATTATCTACAAACAAAGTAGGTATGGCGATTTAACTGTAAAGAGAACTTTGTAATTTATATTTTATGTCTTATCTTGATCATAGTTTTATTGCAACTTAGTTTCTTTATATTGTTTAGCAAATTGTATTCAATATAAAAAACTGTTTTAAGACAGACACTTTAATCTTTGAATTACACCCTGTATCTATTCCAAAGGGCATTGAAGAAATCGTTTCAGATACAATTGTTGGCGAAAGTGTGCCATCTGAAAGAGGATATTTTTCTCTTTACGACTACTAAGTTAGGGGAAACCCGGAAACATAATAATGTAACGTTTGTTACGAATTCCTTTGAATATTCTGCAGCCTTACGAAATTGAGATAACAGTAGGGAAAAGGAGGTGCATTTATCCTCAAATTAAATAAACGCAGAAACGGGATCTTCCTTATTTCTTGTAATGCTTCAACAGTTATTCGAAAAATGTTTCTACATGTAATATGAAAGCGAAATACCACTTACTGATTAATCATGAAATCTGAGAAACTATAAACACCTAAAAACTAAGGGTAGGTTCCATATACAGGGTGGAATTTTGTAATGCCACCTGGAGGGAAAGTACTCTTAATATTGTAGATAGAATGTTTTTCTCAAAGAAAACATTCCTTTATTTTTGAAAAGAAATAGAACTGCATTCAAAGATTTCCAAAAATTTGCTTGCCACACCCGGGAATCGAACCAACTAAAATCTGTTAAAAATTACACCCTGTATTTTTATTACATTGATTGTTAGGGTTAAGTATAAGGATGAAATCTCTCTAACAAACTTGATAAATCAAATGAAAGGAAAACCATTAAGTCTTAAATTATTTTAATTATGTACAGAAAATTGTATAGTATGGTAGTGAATTTTCTAAAATTGTCGAAATTCTTAGAATGCAGTTCTCTTTCTTTTAAAAAATAAAGGAATGTTTTCTTTCAGTAAAATTTTCTATCTACAGTATTAAGAGAACTTTCCCTCCAGGTGGCATTACAAAATTCCACCCTGTATATAGGGTGTAAATGTCTACTAAGAACGGATTTTACGACACTCTACCTCTAAAGGGGTAAAACGGGGTCCACGCGTACGAAGTGTCGGCCACAGCTAGTATTTACATAAAACATCAAAATATACAAGGTGTAAATGGTTGGAAATTAGTTTTACAGTGAACTAGAATCACTATCCCGAATGGCCGTTGCTGTTCGTGTTTTTCTCAGAATATTGAAAGTCGAATTTAATGATAATTAATAATAATTCATGTTTATAGAGGCTTTTGTTTTCGTAGTAACTAGGTAAGTAGGTAGGTACCATTAATTAAAAGGGGTTAATTTATAGTGCAAAAAGGGTTCATAGGATTTCATGAAATACTCGTATTTTCGTAGATTTTTTAATTTATGATGCAACGTAAACCGGATAAAAACCAGACATATTTATAAAGGTGGCTTAAAGTATGCAAAGAAAAAGAGTGGTAGAAACACCTACCGATGAATTTTAATGAGAGATCTTTTAAAAAGTGGTCAAGTTCTTGAAAGAAACTTTGTTGGTGTCCTTTTATAAAGGTGGCGTTATTTTTAATAAATTATGAATCAATCACGTTATTGTATGAGGTAATATTTGACCTGTCACTAATTTCAAACTATGGTAACCCTCAAGTAGTCCTAGAAGTTTCCAATACAGTTAGTCCATGCCAATAGACTTTGGTTATCTTATAATGACACGAACTCTAATTGTTGACACCATCCTTTCTATTAAAAACTAAACTCGTGCAACCGAGCCGAAACGTCGGGAGGGTAAATATTATTTACCGTTAAAATAGATATTGTTGCAATAAATCCCGTGAAGTGATAATTTTATAGTAAAAAATGCAACATAATAGTTTAAAATATTATATTAATTTTATTATTATAAAAGTGGTTTATTTATTTAAAGCTTATTTCGAGCACTACATAATATTAAAAACGCATAATTATTATCACGCGATGTTGTTTTAAAAGCGTCTCGCCGAGCTTTATAACTGACCATCTTCATACACACAAGTGACTACTAACTGGAAATGTTGTTTTTCTTACTTACTTTCTACCTTTAACATCTTAATTTGTACCTATATCCCTGTGTTTATTGTGAAACGCATGAATTTACTTTTTTGTTGCAATTTCAACACCAATCCTTTATGTTTATTACATGATTCCTTTATTTTCACTAATTCTCGGATATTTAAATCTTTCAGACTTTCCCAAAATCGGAAAATGTGGAAAGTGATTTGCAGAAAGCTACTTTAGAAGTCATTATGTTGAGGGAAGAAGAGAGCAAATTAAGACAAGAAAATCTGCAACTAAAAGTAAGTCGAATGTTTTGTTTGTAATGATGGTTATCCTATAATTATGTTTATGTCACACGAAGGTTAAAAAGGTTGCGGAAAATAAGGATGTGATTATGTGTAATTTTAAAAGCTTCCACAGACCAAACGCGGGTCAGAAGCAGTGCGGGTCAGTTGCAGCGCGGCTGAGGCACACTGAAAGCAGCGCAGTTTCAAAGCAGTTGCAACGCGGGTGGTTCTCAAAAATTTAAATATTCGAAAACTGCTTTCAACGCGCTGCTACCGCCCTGCGTCCGTTGTGACATGCTAATATGGCCGCCATAGTAATACAACAGCGCGGTCCCGCGTTCGCACCGCTTCTGTCCCGCACCCGCGCCGCCTCGATGGTCGTTCGGCAGTTGCAGTGCGGCGCAGTTGGAGCGCGGGCCCGCGTTCAAATTTGGTGTGACACACTTCAAAGAGTTTCTTGTATTACAACTTGCGCGGGCCCGCATTCAAACTGCGCTGCTACTGCCCCGCGTTTGGTCTGCCCAAGGCTTAAGGATGGTGCATGTTATCGGTATTTTATATGATGCGTAGTCCCAACCCCCAATAGTCCCAACTCATTCAGCACCCAGATATTTGCCCTCAAGCCTAGGCTGCCTCACATTTGAGACAGTGCCTTGAAAATGCAATTACTTACAAAATGGATGCTGGATGCAGGCTTAGGTCAATCTGGAACTCATTGGATGTGGCCTATTTTCAACAGAGAACGTCTTAAGGGCCTTGTGACTGAAATGATGATGATTTAAAAAATGATGATCAAGGAATGAGTGGGCACTAACTAGTTCTAATTTCTTATTTTTATCTTATGTTTACATGTCCTTTGTTGTACAAGCTTTTCTTAGTTTTGCCAGCGATAAAGCACTTTAAAATCATAAAATGTTAATTACCTTGTCTCAACCTCACTCTACGAATATAAAATATTATCTTACACAAACCGATTTGATTTAATTTTTATCCATAGTCGATCAAGCATTCTTTGATAAGTATAACAGATAAGACGGATTACATACACTTTTTTATTTATATGGTTATTAGAGAGCTAAATTGTTATTATTTTCTGGCACTGCGAAAACATTTTCTAGTTATGCGAATTTTCTTTTTTTTTATTTTCAATTTTAATAATTGGCCATTGTTTATTTGCAAACTGTTTTATTTCTTTTTATTTATGTACTCTTGATCCGTACTTTACACAGTGTTAATCATTATAGGCCTATGCGAATGTAAATTCGAAATTCTAAAATTAATTTAGTGAAGCGTAAACTGTCTACTCCGACTACCCAACAACGATTTTATTGTGTAAAACAAAACTGGAGTGATAGTCCATAACGTTTTGGTTGAATATGAATCAACAATGATTATGAAAACAGGCGTAACCAATCGCCGTCAGTACAAGTTGAATGCAATGCAATGTTTCAAGTATAGAAATACATGAAATTTACAATACATTTGCGACAGACAGGTGTCCAATTAGTAATAGGATACGTTTTGCTTACGAATTGTTTACGCGGGGCGATTGCTACTATGTTTACAGCTTATAGCGTAAAAGGTTATGCTTACGCTGACGCGATGGTTGTTTTTAAGGCTGGATTGCGCCATCTTAGTTCAACTATAATAAACGTCAAAAGTCTGTCAAACTCCATACAAAAAAAAACCTCGGTTATCATGGGCGTACCCAGGAGCTTTGAATGAGCTAAGTCAATTGATCTGACCTATAAAATGTGGTTTGATAGGCCCCTAAAGCAGAAGCTGGGTACGCCCATGCTGGTTATGGTTATTCATAGTTACGGTTAAAGCAAGGTGGTGCAACTTAGCGTAAATTTCTTAGATTTAAATAAATAAATAATGTATTTATTGCCTTCGAACCATTAGACAGGTACAGGTAGTTAGACTTACAATAATATTATGAAGTACACCGAAGGCAATTGGACCTGGCTCAGTCTACGTTGTAAGGAGAGATCCTTGCAACACTGGTTTTCAGCCATGCCCAATTCTCTAGGATGTTGAGCGAGAATAAAGATATGAGGGCTTAAGAAGCGTTTTTTTTAGGAGCGTTAGTTGGATATTAAAGTTGGCGGGGTTTTCAGGAAGAGTTGCTACGTTTGCACCAGTCCGCGGGCGGCGACGGGCGCGCGGTCCGCCCGCACTCGTACGGGCCGGAGAAAACGGCGCAGACCGCGTCGGTGCCGTGGCTGGCCACCGCGCTAGTCATGGCCTTCATCGGCATCATCATCGGCAAGTTCCTCATGTGAATCAACCGCCGCCGCGCGCGGTGACCCTACAACACCTCACGAACACCGCTGTTACACCACTCCCGAGTGATGCCACGATTGATTCGATACCGTATGACGACACGTGACAATGTAATCGTCGATTCTACGGTTATTTTTACAGATTTTTCGTTTTGAAAATTCACATTCACATTTCTAACAATCTCCTTTCGGTATCATGCGGAGGTTGGTTAATATTACAGTATTATAACACCACAATAGTGCCTTTTATGCTGGGCTTCATTTACTATTAATCGTTTACGTGTAAAGCCGTTAAAAATCAAAATGTTTATGGTATTTCTATTTTTTTAATTTTAGAAAATAACCGTAGTTTTAATCGATGATATTGCTGCTTATAATCGTTAATGTTGTTAAATGATGGAATCGTGGGATCACTGCCACCCAACGCATCCCTCTCGCACAAAGCAGCTTAAGGATTATATGAGAACTACCTGGAAGCTTAGTTTTTGAGCTCATAATTACGACGCGACCTCTCAATAGTAAATTGTTGCCAACTATTCAAGTTCAATAAACAGACTCGTACAGCAAAACGTAGCGATTCGTTTAGTAGCGGAACAATGTACTGACACATGAGTCGGGTCCGCACGGAGGAACGAACGTTCGGTTCGCGTGAATGCACGCAAATTACTGATAAGAACCTAGTTCAACTTCGAACTTGTCCACGTAGAACGTATATTTCGATCGCCTCGGTCATTTTTACGGACACTGTTAACCCTCAACCAGTCAATGGGGATAAGTCACCAAACATTCGAACTTTCTTCTCCGATCCAGGGTTTAAGACTCACAGTTGTTATGAATCAACAACTGCCCATCCGTGCGTACCTGCCTACACAGTATTATACAGCTGCCACGTTTCGTTCCATAAATTCAGTCGTTTAAAACAATAATTTATTAATTGTTAGCGAGGTAAAGGCACTAATAGTTGACTCTACATAGTTTATGAAGAACCTTAAAAACTATGGTAATGTTATAGTGACAAAAATTAGAAGTACTGTTTAACTAATTACCTGTTTAAATAAGTGAGTACTCATTGTTCGTCAAATTTTTTTATGTGTATCATGCAGAAGATAAAGTTATTTTGAAGATAAAGATAGTTATGCTCATTGAGTAGGATTTAGTGCCTTTGCTTGCCTATTTACTGCAACAGTAGTTTGATGTCGCTTACTTCATTTATAATTTTACTTACAAAGAACTGTTGAGATTTAGACAATTTTCCCGTGATACTAATATCCCATTACATTAACCATTTGCAGTTATTAATTTTGTATTTATTATTAGAAAGTTCTGTACGAACTAGCAATTAGCTTGTATTTCTGTTCAGTTATTAATATAGATGAAGAACCGTATAGTCTGCAATCATTGCGACCGTTACATAGGTCATCACGATCATTTTATAGGGCAAATCATTACAATAACATGACTAAATATCACCTACCGGGACCCTTAACCAGGCTTAGGTTTCAACCGTACATCCACAGCATTTAGCTCAAATTTATGTGAGGTCTATAATTCTCCTCAGCCTGGTTATAGGTTAAGACAGCCGCAAGCAATAGTTTAATGTTTTTTAACTTGGGACGCGCCCCGCATTGTTGTGCCTTTTGACCCGCGCTGTGTGAGTGGTTGGAGTATCCGTATGGTACTTGGATTAAAATGCTGAGTGGCATATGATGGTGTTCTCACCATTGTGTGAAGTATTGAGATAAGTTCCCAAGCAATATTTATATAGGGCGATACACTACATGTTAAATTGTCCCATGCGAAACCGGGGTTGTTGGTAGTAGAACTTTAATAATTCTATTGCTTGCGACTGTTTTTTTTTCCTCATTTACATAAACTTGAGGATTTATCTTTACATAAATAAAAACAGTGTCTATTTAGCCCTAATATAGAGTTGTAATTATTACTTTTGGTCCTAGTATAAAGTTTCATGTGTACCTATTATTTCATTTCGCTTTTATGCATTTAATCATAAATGTGGTGAAGATTTACGATAATAAGTGTTCTAATTTGTTGTTTTTGTAAAGATTGTAATTAGCCACCAATCGACTATCAGTTAACATTTTTAGTAGTAAATTGCTTACTTTTTGTTTCCCTCAGAATCATTCCCTGAAGTCCTTATAAAAGTCAAGTGACTAAAGAAGTAGTGAATTAGCAGTATAGCAGGTTAATGTAATGTATGCCTGGCTGGTTTTGTTTAAATAGTAAACATTGACAGGAACCTCATTATTTGTTCAGTTACATCAGTTTTACAGTGACGTGATGAATTTTGCAAAAAATTTTGGCCCTCAAGATAAAAATGGCAACAAACCTATCTGACCTTTACACCACACAACTTTTTTAAACATTTTTATAGTTTAACGAAACTTCACACTTCCTACAGCCAGTTAAATAAAGCCAATAAGTTTTTTAAATAAACTTTTTTTAAGAAACCTCAAAAACATTACATTTATTACCGTGGATCATTAAAAGAGTAAAATGATTACCTATATTATTTTATCATGTCTCTTTTTTACATTAGGCATTGTATATATCGCATTCCCATGTGCCCGTGCACGAGTATAGTTCGCTCACCTTACCAAATGAAAGGAGGTATAGTGCATAATAGGTGCTGGAACAACCTGATGTAACTGAACTATGAGATTGCAGCAAAAAATGGACACGATTTGCGGCCGGCTAGTTCAATCGATATCGAATGTCATTAAATATATTATAATGTATTCAGCAAAAGCAATCTTCTCTACACATATCACAATATTATTGATCAATTAAAAAAAAAACATGTTAATTGTAATTATTCCATTTTGTTAGGTTCCTTACTGCGTACTAACATAAAATAATGCTTGCCCCTAATGTGAGAGGGATTAGTGGTAATATGAATCAATATGCAATATTTTACATAAATGTATTGAAATATTTAAATATTATGTACTTAGTATTTTCACATTAATAATAACCGTGCCTTCACTCTCACTTGATCTGAAAATACGGTAAATGTATCTGTGTCGACTATTTATTCGATTCGGCCATTATAAGTAGTTTTATAGGAATACAAACCTGTGCCGCGTTTTTTGTATTGATATTTTTAAAACTATCGTAAATACTGTTGTATTCATAAAATAGATGCACCATAATGGTTCTTTAAAGCCATTGCGTTTGCGTGTTTATGCCTGTAAAAGAATATCTAGTTCGGTGATAAAATACATAATATACTTTTTTTCCCTATGTTACATGTTTACAAATAGATTATAATATTAAAAATAAATTAGTACCTAATATAAAATCGTAAATATAACGTGTGTTATGTGATTGTAGATTGCGGAGCTTAGAACGAGGGCGTAGGCGAACATAAACTATATTTTGTGATAGATATATTGTAACGTTCACCATTGTGCGCTTAAAATATTTAATGAGAATGCACTGATCCCGCGCCGTACTGCATACCCATAGGGACTAATCGTAACGTTGTCGTATTTTCAAATATAGCTGTGCTGTGACTATTGTCAGCATCTCACCATAAGTAAAGAGCGATGGAGCTATTTGAAAACTTAAAAGCGTTCTGAAGCTACAAGATAAGGCAACTATATTGCTCCATTTAAGTCAAAGTTGCTCCATTACCGACAGTGCAGCACCTTGGATAGTCCTGCAGAGTGCGCGCCGAAAGTCAAACGTGTGTATTTTTACTTTTTGCACAATGTACTTTCCGGGCTCGGTATATGCCTTTGCTAGATACAAATTAATGTGCCTGCAGTAACTAAGCTTCACGCCCTGGTTTGAGCTCCGCGCCGCGCCATTGTTCAATGATTTGTCTTAACGTCCCGAATCGAATTCAAGTCGCACATAGGTACACATTATAGTGAAATTATTTCACGTTATTATTTCAGTGGCCACTAAGATTGCAAAACCCATTCATCATACATACTACTACCATAGAACATGTAAATACAAAGATACTTGCACAGTGGGAGTGTCATACAGCAAGTGAGGTTATCGCTTCTTAAATATTAGGATTTTATGCGGCTGGTCTGGCTTCAGCTGAGCTTAACATATTGAAATAAGTATCATTTTTGGTCGCGTCGAAATCATTTTCCATGATGAATCTACTTATTGTATTGGGGTTGGTATATTTAGTACAAGTTCATGATTTTATATTAGGTCTTATTTACTATGAACGAAGCTCAGCTAGGTCGAACTACTTTGCAGTGCGAAGTGTGAAATATACGACAAAATAGATATATTTGTAATTTAACCGTGGATCTGTTTTTTAACACCACGACTAATATTCTATGTAACTCTAGACCTTGTCATGGTTCATAGCACCTTTAAATCGTAGATTTGTGTCAGTATGATTAGACAGATTTAATTCTTGATTATTATTGCATTTCATAGACATTATGTTACGGTAAAAATAATATCTTTATGAGGCAGTCTCGCTTAAAATGTTTAATGAATGTGGATAATTATTTTGAAATTTCCTTTTATAAAGTTAATTGCACATTAAATTTCATTGTTGTATTAAACAAATTGTGGCAAAATGCCGTTGTGTCTAGTAAAAATAAATTATTTTATGAAGTTGCATTAATCACACATTCGGACAGTCAAAGTAAAATAACACTTGAGTAGACAATTTTTTACATACACAATATTGGTCTATTATTTTAATATACACAATATTATCAATATTGAGATTATCGAAAACTTTTAAGCGTGAAAGAATTTAGCAACATTTAACTTCATTTTTGCGATGAGAACATACTTCAATAAATCAACAATTTGATGATATTTTGTAACAATGATTATAGTTGTTGTGTTGGTTCCATCCAACTGACTCAATAGTAATAAAGAGACGACACAGTAATATTGTCATCTTCGAAAAGTATAGTTGATGCAACCTGAAACATTATTTTTACTTGACTTCAGAGGACACCGATCGCACTAGACAAAACAGAACAAAGGAGTGCCTGCCTGTCCGTTGATAAATTTGCTTGACCCAGAATGTTGTTTTTTGTGCAAGAAATAAATTTGTATTTACTAATATTCTACCTAATTTAAATTTTGATTTGTAATTTATGATGACTTGATACATCGCGGTAGATCGGTGTGCATGCATCAAAGTAGGTAATAATAATTATATTTATAAATAAATGTTTCATGTTTTCGGTGTTTCTATTGCAATATATGGAAAATTCACTCCATGATTTATTTAATGCGTGTTTCCAGTGGAACTGATGTTAACCTAAATTCGCTTGATCCATGGAAGACCAAATCAATGTGGTAGCACTTACATAGTAGCAGTTGGTCGTGACAGTACTCAGTATAAAGGAAAGTGATCTTATCAATTTAAACCATATTATGTTGATAATGTACGAAAATTTAGTTGCAATTATTTTTAATGTGTCTATGATAACGTATGTACATTCTTGCTGCTTTGGTATTAGTAATGTAAAAAAATATTTTATTTATTTCGGGATATATATTAGTATTTGATTGAAGTAAGGCCATTCGAGAAACCATTCTTAGTTTTTATTTTTAATTAACAATAGAGAACCTTTTAATTAAATTTTCTGTATGGTATTGTTGTTATATTAAACTATTATGCTATATTGTATCGTTTTCTGAAATAAAAGACTTAATTTATGATCCATTTGTATTACTTTGATATCCTATTCTGTTACATTTAGTTTGATGCACTTCAAATCGCACTGCAGATAAGGTTAAGACTATGGTTAAGGTTTTGAGTGCAGAAAGAATAGAGTATTTGCCATCACCAATCAATTGACGTACTTTTTAAAATTGACAAAACGAGACTCCTATATTTGTATGGCAATACTAGCCAGTGACGTCATAATTTTATGAACTCGATAAAACTACCAAAATCGTAATTTAAAATTAAAAGTTTTTAAGATCCGAATGAAGCACCTTTTTTCAAAAAAGTAGTGTATTAGAATTATTGGAATGAGTTGTGGCAAATACCCAATTATTTGTGATATTTATAAATAACTAGCTTTTGCCCGCGGCTTCACCCGCGTGGAATTTAGCTTGTCACATATCGTCATAAATTATAGCTTACATGTTATTCTGGGTTATAATCAATACTGTAGTTTCATCAAAACCCGTTCAGTAGTTTTTGGGTGAAAGAGTAACAAGCATTCAGACATTCATACAAACTTTCACATTTATAATATTAGTAGGAATGACTGTTACAAATGAGTAGTAATACAGATATTCGTTCAATGGTTCAACCCTCTACGGGTTCGTTCAACTAACAACCGGACACTGCTATAGTCTTTTTCACCTAAGATGATTCCTGTGACATAGGGTAAACCGTATAGCTATTGCCCACTTAAAGATATTGTTAGGAGGACTGTAATGACAGTCTCCATAGCGACAGTTTTTGTTATCGCATGTCTTGTCATTATAATTTTATTCTATGTGAAATAAAACATTCGTCACAAGTTCCAACAGTGTTTATTTAACTTTAATATGGTAGCAGAGCAAATAACGTAAATAAATACGGGAATCACGATGGCGTCGGGCTCAAGTACAAAAATTGAGACTCTAAGTAAAGAAAATTTCGACACATGGAAAATTCAAGCCAGGGCGATACTTATCAAAAATAAATTATGGAGTGTTGTTGAGAAACCGTTGGATCTTGAGAAAGCTGATGAAGAGAAGAGAGAGAAGGATCTTTTGGCTCAATCTGAGTTAGTACTTCTAATTTCACCTTCTGAATTAAAGCAAATTAAAAACTGCAAAACAGCTCATGAGATTTGGACAACGCTTGATTCCATATATGCGAGTAAGGGACCGGCTAGAAAAGCTTCACTTCTAAAGCAGTTAATATTGTCCAAAATGGAACATGGCAATATAAGAGAGCATTTGAATAAGTTCATGGATGTGGTAGATAAATTGCAGGATATGGACATTCACATTCATGATGATTTGCTTGCTGTTATGATGCTATACAGCTTACCAACAGATTTTGAAAATTTTCGCATTGCCATTGAAGCAAGAGACAATTTACCTAAACCAGAACTACTCAAAATTAAAAATCTTAGAAGAAGCAGAAGCCAGGCAAATTAATAACAGTTATAACAACAATATTAGAGATGGACATGAAGAAGAATCAAATTATATAAAAACATGCAAATTTTGTAAAAAGAAGGGGCATGTTGTAAATGACTGTAGGAAGCTGAAAAAGAAGAAAGAAACGAACGAAGAAGTTCCTGAAACATCTCATGCTTTATCTATGCATTCCAAAAGTAAGAATCTAGACGATGATAAGAATAGATGGATTCTTGATAGCGGTTGTACATCGCACATGTCTTTTAATAGAAAATATTTCGAAAATTTAGAAAAATCTGACTTCCAACTGCTAAAACTGGCTTCCCAAGATGCAACAGCTAACATATTTGGTAAAGGCCAAGTGAACATCATGACAGATTCTAATGTTGGAGGCAAAAGGAAAATTCAAGAGATCATGTTGAAAAATACTCTCTATGTGCCAACCCTATCCTCGAATTTACTGTCTATTGGAAAAGCCACAGAATGTGGATGGACTTTCTTATTTACAAATAAAAAAGCCACAATTACACAACCTGAAGAAGGTATTAAACTCGATGCGCCAAAAGGCAAAGATGGGCTGTATTACTTAAATCCTGCATCGTGTAAATACAACAACAAAGATACATGTAACTTGGCAAAAGACACAGAAATTCATAAATGGCACAAATGTTTAGGTCATATGAATGAAGCCGACATGAAATTAGCATTGAAGAATGAGACACTTGTTGGTTTAGATTTCAAGCCGGATGAGAAACTTGGAGACTGTGAAATATGCATTCAAGCAAAGATTAAAAGACTGCCTAGTAAACCCAATGACACACCACGCACGACAAAACGACTCGAGATAGTGCACAGCGATGTTTGTGGTCCGATGACTCAAACCCTCGGTGGAGAAAAATATTTCGTAACTTTTATCGATGACCACTCTAGATACAGCCGAGTCTATTGCATAAAACAAAAGAGTGAGGTATTGGACAAATTCAAACTTTACAAGGCAGAAATGGAAAATTTCACAGGTAACAAAATTATTAGTCTCCAGTCTGACAATGGCTTGGAATATTGCAATCAAAATTTTGATAATTTTCTGAAAGAGCATGGTATTACAAGACGATTGACAGCACCATATACACCACACCAGAATGGTGTTGCAGAACGCAAAAACCGTACTCTATTGGAAAAGGCTAGGAGCATGATGATTGAATCCAAAGCACCTCAAAGCCTTTGGGGAGAAGCTATTCAAACTGCAAACTACCTTTCCAATCGAAGTGTCAACAAAACTATTTCCGCACATTTTGGTACTGTTACTTCACCTTATGAGAAATGGGTACAAAGAAAGCCTTGCGTCTTCCATTTGCGTCAGTTTGGAATAAAAGCCTTTATACTACTTAAAGATGGCAAAGAACATGATAAATTCAAATCGAAAGCTATACCTGGGATGTTCGCAGGCTATTCAGATACATCCAAAGCTTATAGAATTTGGGTACCTTCAAGACATAAAATTATGATTGCCAAAGATGTTCGATTTACTAACAAACTCTACTACACTGAACCACAAAATTCAATTTCGGAAATTACAAAATCTTTGAAGGATAATGATAGATATTACGCCGAAATAAACTTCTTTGATAATAATGACGAAAGTGAATATGAATCAGTGCAAGAAAATGATGATGAAGATGTACCTATTCCAGATACAGATGATAATGATACTGTTATTGAAAGAAATATAACTGAAGAAGTTACAAATAATGAAGTCACTAACAATGAAGCTCCTCCTGAACAACGAGTACTTCGTGATCGCAGCCTTCTGAGAAAACCACAAACTTTTGATGAATTTGTTCTCGCTGCTACTGAAGAGTTTATCAACTATAGAGAACCTTCAACCTATCGCGAAGTTCTTGAAAGCACAGACAAAGACAAGTGGTTAGGAGCAATGCTGAGTGAGATAAATTCTCTTAATGAGAACCAAACATGGGATCTCGTTCCTTTACCAAAGAACAGAAAAGCATTACCTTGCAAGTGGGTATTTAAAGTTAAGACCAATCCAGATGGTAGTGTCGAACGATACAAAGCAAGATTGGTAGTAAAAGGATTCTCACAGAAACCAGGGGTAGATTATGACAAGACGTTCAGCCCTGTAGTGCGTCTTACTACCGTCCGTGCCCTATTAGCAGTAGCTGCAAAAGAGAAGTTATCCCTCTGTCAATTTGATGTTTCTACAGCATTTCTTAACGGCAACGTAGAAGAAGAAATCTACATGAAACAGCCTGATGGTTATAGCGATGGAACAAATAAAGTGTGCCGCCTGAAAAGGAGCTTATATGGTCTCAAGCAGGCTCCAAGATGTTGGAATACCAGTATACATGAATTTCTTGTGAGCTCCAACTTCACACAGAGTACTTCTGACCCATGCCTATATATTAGAGAAAATGGAAAATCAAAAGTGCTGATTGCTCTGTATGTAGATGACGGATTAGTCGCATCAACCACCGAAGAAGATGCAAAGAAATTCATTACGGAATTACAAAGGCGCTTCAAAATCGTTACGAAACCAGCTTCTTATTTTCTTGGTTTAGAAATAGAAAGATCTGATAATGGGACCATAACATTAAGTCAAAAAGCCTATACAAAGAAAGTAATTGAAAAATATAAGATGACTGAGTGCAAACCAGTTAAGACACCAATCACTAAAGAGATGACTAAAATTGATAATTCATCAAGTGAAAAAGAAAATTTCCCTTATAGACAGGCTGTGGGTTCTCTAGCCTACCTCATGGTAGCGACTAGGCCAGACATAAATTTCGCCGTCAGCTGTGCTTCGAGAAACCTTGATAGTCCATCAAAAGCAGACATTCTTGCAGTAAAAAGAATACTACGCTATCTAAAAGGTACAATAAATAAAAGCCTAGTATTCGGTATGCATAATGCCACCAATAAATTAATCTGCTATAGTGATGCAGATTTCTCCACAGCGCATTCCACGTCCGGGATACTTTGTCTATATTACGGACCAATTAGCTGGCGGAGTAATAGACAGAAAACTATAGCTTTATCGTCGACGGAGGCGGAGGTAGTGGCAGCCTCGGAGACAGCACGGGAAGTGGTTTGGCTACAAGCAATGTTGGAACAAATAACAAAAGTTGAAAAGCCACCACTGCTACACATTGACAATGAGTCAACGATTAAGCTAGCGAACAATCCGCCGTACG